ATACATTATTTACGTAAAAAATACTAGCAAATTCAAAAACATACGAAAAACTAATATTTGTACAGTGCCGCACAATTTAGGGGGGATAAAAGCTGAAACGACACCTATCGCACGCCACTGGAAGAAGCCAATAAATGGTTTCTGTCATATTTATGCATCCTTTAAGCTAGTAAATCTCTCTATTGAGTTTGATAAAGAAATATTAACTAATACCGGAGCTACAGGAAAAAATAGTTTATTATTTTTAAATTTCAACGCCCTGTATCTCGAAAATTAGCCGCTTTAGGACATATGTTTATTAAGTAAACTGCACTTATTTTTGGATTTTCTACATACCATATCCGTTTGTAACACCTATTCATTAACACCCTGTATATTAAATCCGTCCATTTTCATATACATTTTGAGAACCGACCATGTAATCAAAGCTTGGTGCGCTGTTGGTTGCCAAAGTGATGTAGAGTTCGGGGGACGCGGCTCTTAACAGTGCCATACTCAGCTCAGTTTTCAGTTCTTATTTCAGTGCTGTACTAGACTTTGTTCCGAACGTACCATGCTTTATGGTTTATACGTGTGCATAAACCGCAGTAAGTTGTAGTCTGAGTGTGTATTTAAATATTTGTACAGGGTGTTTCAATTTATAGATTATCCATTAAAATAATATTTCAATAAAATTGATACCAAAATATTTTTTTAGTAAACCCTAAAAATACTTATATTTAGAAATTTCCTCAAATCCGTCTACAAATATTGAAAAATAAAATTGTATTAGTTGTTTTATGAAATCTAATTATATCATGCTATTCTACACAATTCAGAATCCCAATCTATAGCAATTTTTATCAAAATCACGTCATTTTTAAATTTATATAAATAAATAAAATGTGAGTACATTTTCATAGCTTTCAATAATGTTATTACATAATGATTTATTGATTATTATTTGACACTGCTAAATTAGCAACACAATATCCAGATATTACAACTGATCGTAGTAAAGATGCTATGACGTGTATAGAAAGTGTAAATTCAATATTTAATTATTTTTAGCACACTGTACCATTTATAGGATGGGGAAAAACAAACATAATTACATGAACGACAAATATACGAAGAAACAAGATACAAAATATGTTATAAGAAACATTTATAAGCTTTTTATTTTAATGTAGACTGAAATATTGTCAAATTTTATACACAAATTTATCAGAAATATAAAATAAAAAACTAGGTTTTTAATATAGAANTAGAGTTCGGGGGACGCGGCTCTTAACAGTGCCATACTCAGCTCAGTTTTCAGTTCTTATTTCAGTGCTGTACTAGACTTTGTTCCGAACGTACCATGCTTTATGGTTTATACGTGTGCATAAACCGCAGTAAGTTGTAGTCTGAGTGTGTATTTAAATATTTGTACAGGGTGTTTCAATTTATAGATTATCCATTAAAATAATATTTCAATAAAATTGATACCAAAATATTTTTTTAGTAAACCCTAAAAATACTTATATTTAGAAATTTCCTCAAATCTGTCTACAAATATTGAAAAATAAAATTGTATTAGTTGTTTTATGAAATCTAATTATATCGTGCTATTCTACACAATTCAGAATCCCAATCTATAGCAATTTTTATCAAAATCACGTCATTTTTAAATTTATATAAATAAATAAAATGTGAGTACATTTTCATAGCTTTCAATAATGTTATTACATAATGATTTATTGATTATTATTTGACACTGCTAAATTAGCAACACAATGTCCAGATATTACAACTGATCGTAGTAAAGATGCTATGACGTGTATAGAAAGTGTAAATTCAATATTTAATTATTTTTAGCACTTGCAAGCCTCAAAAAATTATACTCACTTTCAGGTAGCGTTAAAATTTGAAATGAACGAAAGAATAGAAATAAATCACGAGACACTTAAATTTTAAAAAATTAAAAAAGAAAGAGAAATTTTTTAAGTGTCGTGATTTATTTCTATTCTTTTATTCATCAAATTCAATAAAGAAAATTATTAGTTTGTTGATATTCATTTTTTGAGGTCGCTCGAAAACATTTTAGGTAGCTACACTACTTTTAAAGTTATAATAATTATGAGTGACCTTTAGAATTTAAAATATGGATTTGAAATTTTCAGAATCGAGATTTTTTTCAACCTAGAAAATGATAAAATAAAAAAATTCTATTTTTGACGATTTTGGAAATTTTAAAAAATCTTGAGCGACCTTTAAAAAATTTTTTTGACCTGATTTTTTGAAGGGGCTCTTAAAACATGATAAACTAACATATTTTCACTTTCAAGAGACACGAAAAAAAATATTCGTCTTTTTTTGGGCCACCCTAATAGTTATATTAAATTTGGTCCATTTATTTTTGTTCTATTTCATTATATTGATTATACTTATTTTACAAAAAAACTACATGTTCTACACCCAGCAATCTGGACCGCTCTTTAAAATATTTCTACACATTTAAGATTCAGCTTGTATAACATATTCTAATTATCTCTCATAGCGATGCGGACCGTTTCAAAAATGTACAATTAAAAATGAGAATTTTGCAGAAACGGATCTACCTACGGCTTAACATAATTTTTATTTACATAATTATGCAAAAACAAAATTCATTAAAAGAGCAGTAGTGTTAAAACAGTCGACAAAAATGAGGCACTAATGAATTCTTATGGCATACAATCATCCGAAAACTTTATCCTCCTAATCCGATTAACAAAATTGTAAATAATTAACAAGACAAAGTTACTCAACGTAAACAAGTTACTTCTTTCATTTTATTTCGGTAATGCACCCTGGCGGTCCTCTATTTAATTAAAATCCCCGCTCTAAGTGAAACTCAAATTAAGTTTACTGCGGGGACAACGTAAAATGTGAGGCAAATTAAACTTGCGTTTAATACAATTCAATTTAATAATTCCGTGAAATACGATAGAGTACTTAGCGGGGAAAGTTTTACGCTATTATTAAACATAGCGCTGACGTGGTAATTTACGGGTTCCTTACTATGGCGTTTTAATTAATTCCTGCTAATGGCAAATGAATAACCATTATTGCCATTAAACAAATAGAATTTAATAAAAGTAGCTGATAATATAACGAATAATATAAGCAGTTATAAACATTTTGCAGACGTTGCTTTATAATTTCAAGATCATTTCTTTCTATAATATTTATTTTAAATTCTTATGTAAGTTTGATATCAAATATATGTCTGTCTATTTTTTTATATTCGGCAATACCTTTATATCTCTGTCAAAAGCAATCGGATTAAATTAAATTCTTGTCAAGTAAACCAAGATCACTAGATGAGCACCTTTGAAATTTTGTGCTAGAATTTCTCCAAAAGCGTTTCCATACTGCACCCGTTGGAGATGATAGGGATATAACTGTTGTTCTTTTAAAATTCTAAAAACTACTGAATGGCTTACATTTAGGACACGAGCTATTTTCCTGGTACTAGTTTCTGGGGATTCCTCAATTAAATTAAGTACGGCTTCATCGACAGCTTCAGTTCTAACTTCTCGGCTACGGCCACAGTCATGACTTCTCTTTTCAAATTTTCCAAGTTCCCGCAAGCGTTGGTGAATATTTGTGAACGTAGTATGGTGGGGTAATCTACGCTCTGGGTACTGTTCAGCATAAAGTCTTTGCGCTTCCAATGCATTACCGTTAGCATACCCATATGTAAAATGCATATCTGCCATTTCTAAATTCGAATAGTTAACCATATTTTCGGTTTATTAACTAATATTTTCTACACAAAATCATGAAACTTGTGAAATAGTAAGAAACAGTAACAATAAATGACATTGACATTTGTTTCTACGGATTCCATTGTAAAGAACAGGCCACTAGATCTTTCGGCAAAATACACTCGCGTTAAACAGCTCATCTTTTTAAAAATACATTACAATACATTTTTTTTTTTTTGTCATAAATCCTTAACTTTTCGAAGAAACTTGAAGAGATCAAAAAGTTAGTAAATGAATGGGGTTTTTTAGACATATTTTTTAAAAGGAAAAAATTTTATCGAAAAAAAAATTATAAGAAAAAATGTCATAGGGGTTGATTATTTCAACCCCTTACAAAAATAGTTCAGGGTTGAAAAAAATTCAAAAAGTGTAGTTTTATTGACAGATAATGTTCACCAAGTTTGGTTTCTTTAGCTTGATGTACGTGGAAGATAAAAAAGAAAAACAATTTTTTTTTGTAATTTTAGGAGGGGCGTAACTTTTCAGGGGAGGGTTTTTTCAAAAAAATTTATACCAAAGACCACTATTAATTTTCATCGGAGAATCGCCCCTTGATTTTTTTCGGTGTTATTTAGATACACCCTGTATATTTGATAATATCTTCTTACAGTTTCTATAGAAATGTTATTATTTTTTATACATAATTCATACATCTCCCTCTGCTTTGTAATTGAAAACTTCACCGTAATTTAAATTAAAAATAGTATTAGAATAATGCTCACAAGGCAGCAAGCGCTAACAAATTTCGAATCTGTCAAATGTTTGTTGATTTTTGTTTTACGTCAAGAACAACTAGATTTTATTAATTTTTTAAGTAAACTATTGAATTTCTTAAATTTTATGGGTTATTCTTCAAATAAAATAGTGCCTAGAGTTACACACTGACGTGTTCGTAATTTTTTCCTCTATCTGTTACTGTCAAAATCCAATATGACGCCCATAAGAAAAAAACAATTGAATGTTGCATGACTGAAACTAGTGGCCGTAGAAATTTTCTTTCGACGAAAATGGACTGCTCGTATCTTCTTATCCCCCAGTACCGAATTTCAGCTCTTTCTGTTGTGAAATAAGGACGCTAGGTAGCATTTTCTAAAATCGCTATGTTCAGTTTTTTCACAATACTTCACGAACGACAGTAGATATCTTTGATCTGTTTGGTTTATTTTAATGATCCTGAAAAAGCGCAAATTTTTTCTAATTTGAACCATCCTATATATCTTACGGTTTCCCAGATGCCAATGATGAGCCATGGAAAACGGACCACCCTGTATATCGTATATGATTACAAGAATCCAACAATGCAAGTTTTATCATTTGTTCCGTTATAATTCTTCCATACTGGGAAGAATATTTTCATTTTAATTAATTATTGCACAAAGGGAAAAGCTCTTTCAAATATTTATTTTTCTTTTAATTAATATTGCATAAACAGCAAAGTTATTTTAATTTAGTATTTAACAAAAAAGTAATAGTAAGAAAGAAATAATAAATTCACCATTAAACTGTGTAAGTGTATAAAAAGTGTACTAAAGTCCCGTCCAGAATTGAATTACATAATTAATTGAATTACACAATTAATTAAATTACGTACATTGAAACATTGATGAAATATTTCCAATATAACAAAGGTTGGATAGTCAAATAACCACAATCTCTTAATTAAAAATGAAAATGGATATTAATCTACAAGAGTGTCAATATTATATCCATGCACAGGAAAGCTGTTATTTATAAAAAAGAGATTTTATTTATTCTTTCTTAAATAAATTCATAAACTTTTCAATATTTTGAGTGTACCAGCAGAGGAGGAAGTTACAGAGTGTTTGAAGCGAATGGGTTATACTTCAAAGGCAGCTTTCTTAGATGAAAATAAACTGATTTAGATCAAGTTACCCTAGTACAATTTTGCTTCCTTAACAATAATTTACGGAACTTGAAAGAATTTTTTTTATTTAATTTTTAAAAGGCCTGCATCATTTTTATAGATTTGTTTTAACTAAAACATAGAAGTAGCTAAGCACAGGTTGTTTTTAAATATTTTTTGTATCAATTTGTTATATTCACAGACGCTGTTTCTCTTTTAAGTATGTACATTTAATTGTGGTTCGTCCTAGAATGGTTCTATCTTTTTATTGTACCAATTCAATTTCCGTAATTGTGTTGTAAATTTATATACATATTAATATATTTGAAATTACTTTTAACTGATTATTTATCGATAATTTTATTTTATTACGTTTTCCTAATACTAGTACTTACTCATCGACGCAATGACCGGCTGTCGCAATCCAATTTTCATTCAGAATAGCTCCTCCACATCTGTGAGTGCTTGAGAAACCAAAAAATGACGTCCTTCTAACTGACACCTATTAACACATTGTAATATTAGATACAATAATGGTTGTTTTTGTATCTAGAACGCGAATGGTACTTTTGTGTTCAAGAATGGAATCCATTCGAGAATGCAAAAGCATTTCGAGTTCGAAATGCAAACAATATTTCGAAAACTGCAATAAAATAAGACAATTGTGTTATATACAACAATTTAATTTATATCTATTTGAAATCGAGTGAATCGTGTTTGAATCAAGACGGTTTAGGTGCGGTGACTATCATAACGATAGCAACCTAATAAACAATAAAAATTAGTGGTTTAAAAAGTAGTGTCAGAATTATATATTGTAATTCATATTCTAAGAGTGTTTAATTCAAAATGAGTTCGGAAAGTGAAGACGAGCATTTACCAGAGGAAGTATTGGAAGCGGCACAAATTTCATGATTAATCCCCAAAAAATCGTCGAGACACTACGAGATTGCCTACAACGAATTCAAAGGGTTGTGTAGTTCGAAAAAAATTCAAAAAATTTCCAAAATTAATACCGTATTTGAAAATCAAATCTATTGGATACCGTCCGAAAAAGTCCAGAATTCTAACGAAAGAGGAAATTAACAGATTTTTACAAGAACCACCTAATAATAGATTTCTGCTAGAAAAGAACATTTAAATTAATATAAATCGATCGATTTAACTAATTTTGGACACCTTTTCAGGTCATTTTAATAATTGGTGTTTGTGGAGCTTTGAAAAGAGATGAGCTACTAAAAATAACGATCGATGATATAACGAGCGTTCAAATAAAAACGTGGTCGAAGTTGGCTCTGACACATTGGACGTAGGGAGTAGCTTATAGCGACCAACTTAACCTCATTTCCCAACGAGCTGTATAGCAGCTGTCAGTTTCAATAACGTTAATGACTATATAACTTTATTTTAAAGAATAATCGTGATAACAATAACAAACAATTAAAGGAGCTGCGGAAAGTGTCCCCCTCCTTGTTATAACAATAAATTAAAGCAGCTGCTGAAAGTGTCCCCCTCCTTGTTCCAAGCACTTTTCACACCTGTTCCTCAAAGAATTAAAGACATTTTCTAAGATGCTCGGGGTATTGTTAATTTCACG